ACTCTTTCGCAAACGTTGATCCATCACACACCTTCGATCCATCGGATACGTATTCGACGAGGAAAAAAACGTTTCTCGTTTGTCAATCCATCGCTCCATTTGCTCGAGTCGAAGGCGAAACTCTTCCTCCTCCTCCTCCTCCGTCTGTTTGCCCTCTGACGTGTTAAATCTTGCTCGAGTGACCACGCCATTTTGATTAGAGTAGAAGAATACACAACCCTGATGGTGATTCCTGGTATTCCACCACGTAATGGTACTGCGTAACGGCGTATAAACGTTCCACGAATAGCCTGCGCCCGGTCAAATGTCGACCAACCAATCATTCACTCGAGCTAAAAATACTGGAAAGGATCGTGTTCGGGTCCACCCACGCGGGATCCTGAATGTATAGGGGAGGGGGGAGGGATTGGATTTCAAAGGAGCGATTCTACGAGGCGGACACGTAGAATCACGTGGATATTTCCGGGAGGCGATGAAAAAAAGAGGGGAGAAAGGAGAAGAGTTGTGCTCTCTCCTCAGTATTTCTCGTCGAAGGGAGGGGAGAGAAATCGTGAGAGAGAGATGAAAGAGGTGGCATCCACAGCCGCGGAGTTTATTATTAAGAAAGGGGGCGAGGAAGAATCGGGGCGGGAATAGGTACAAATACGTTCGTTTCTCGCTCCTTTATTCACCGTCACCTGTCATCGATGCTCTTGCAGAAATTGCTCGCCAACAATGGAAAACGTTCCGCTGCAATTTGCATCGCGATTACGTATACAGCAAAAGCAAGGAGAAGAGAAAAGAAGTGTGCGAATTTTTCTCGATCCTTTTCATTGTCATCGATGCTGTTGGAAAAATTGCTGGCCAACGATAAAAATCGTTTCGCCGCCAAAGAAATAGAGAGAGGAAAGGTGGTGATGATTTCACGGAGGCACGGATTCGTGCACGACTTGTGAATGAATTTTCCTTCATCCTTGTCATCGATGCTTCCGAATTGTTCGTTCGACAATAGAAACGTTCCACTGCGGCGACCAAAAAGATCGAAAATTCATGCTTCTTAATGGATTCGAAAGCAAGGATGTAACGATAACCCACGATTTATAATATCTGTGAATATTAAAAATTTTTCTTGTCAAGCTTCCTCGTTCGTGTCATCGATGCTCTTGCGGAAATTTCCAACAATGGAAAACGTTCCATTGCAATTTGCATCGCGATTATTTAGCAAAAGAGAAAAGAAAGATTTTCTCCTCAATTTTTTACACACGATTTTCAACGTTACGAATTTTTTCTCGCTCCTTTTCACTGTCTTCGATCAAGAAATCAAGAGAGAGAAGGGTGATTCTCTCCCCAAGACTCGATGCACTAAGTCTGTGAACTTTGTGAATTTTCCTCGCTTCTTTTCACCATCCTTGTCATCGATGCTTCTGAATCATTCGCCAACGTTCCACCATGGTCCGATCACCTAAGATAAAAAGATCGAGAGAGAGAGGAAAGGACAATTCTCTCATCAGTGATGTGACGATAACGTAACGATCTTAAAAATTTTCGTCATCCCTGTGTTCGATGCTCTTGAATAATAGAAACGTTCCATCGCGATTACTTAACAAATAACTCGAGGCCTTCATATCTGTTAGTAATTTGTAACATCGATTACACTCCCGATATGAAAATCGTCGATCATCGAGTGTTTCGTTTGCTCGTACGCAGAAAAATTTAGTTTAGCCGCTTTTTTAGACGAAAGAAAGAAAAGAAAAAAAAAAAGGAAATCAGCGCACTGTTTACCGTTCGACTCGCGAAGAAGGTTCTCCCGCGTGCAAAGGGGAGAACAAATTCCGCGAAGTGCGGAATGGAAACCGTTTGCTCTGCTTTCGACCGGAAAACTCCCGTCCTCCCGGATTAGTTTGCGTTTTCGAGATTGTAAAGTTCGAGTTATACCACCCTCGTGTAACTCCGTTACACGTATCCGTTCCAAAGGAGGCGGCCTCTCCTCGTGCAACAATCGAGGACTAATCTCCTACCGCGTTTCCCCGATACTTTTTCAACCACTCGTTAACTCGCCACCGAGTTTTCGAGGCCCGGAGAGGTCGAAAAAAAAAAAAAAATGAAAAAGGAAACCTCTGCGAAACGTAGCCGTTTTTTTATTTCCCTACGTTCTTTCAACCGTGCTCGAAAGCCAAGAAATAACGGATATAATTTTCTCATAGTTTCTCTTTATTTTTTGCCTACTAATAAGCTTAATAAGCTAGGATAAGTAGGATTAGAGATTTTGAATTGTTTCTACTTTTATTGATAAATTGATAAATTCGTTATTTTTAACGAAAGTTGAAAATCTTATATCTTACCTTAGGCGTACCTTATATTCAGTACCTTATAGATTTTTATAGCGTATATTTTATAGCCAGTCGAGGAAACGTCACAGAAATATCTGGCATCTATTTTCGCAAAGTGTTCGACACAAAAGGTCGCGCTGTAGAATAAGATAAGAACGAAATAAGATAAGAAAAATCGGGGGAGGAAACGTCGTGTGTGATACGGCCGAGTTGATAAATTTGAATAAAAAAAATACATACGCTGGAGAGAATACGAAAGGAGGGAATAATATTTTGGAACGATGGAATTGCGGTAAATCGTGGGGAAGCGTGGAGAGGATAATTCGATTTTCATAAACAAAAGCTGATCGGTAAAGATAATACCGTGAACGGTTTCGAAAGCTCCTCCGCATCGAAAATTTAAATCGGATCGAGGGGGTAAATCTCGCTTCGAAAAATTCTAACGCGGAAACTTAATCTCGAGCGTAACCCCGTATCCGCCCGTAAACTTTCCTACGTGACGATAAAAACGTAAGGAAAAATTTCCATCCGAGGAATCTAGCAGACCCTTAACGCGCGACGAGCTCGGCACGCGATTTCCATCGGCGATAAAAATCGGAGAAAAAATTACGCGCGGAAAATTACGAAAAGAATAATTCGCTAATTAAATTGTAAATCCACGTAATAACGCGCCTCTCTAATCTTCTCTCGGTTATATATTTCTTATTCGAAAAATAAAGGATATTTTTTCACGAGTTGATCGAAATATAATCTTTTTTTTTTTTTTTTTTTATGCCTAGCTTCTCCCCTGGTTCGTTCCCTTTATCATTTTATTTTCCCTCGTTATATTTTATATGGTTATAATTAATAAACATTTTGTAACGCAATGGAACACGCTCGAACGAGTGCAAAGGAAATATATGTAAAGAAATTAGAATAATAAATATTTCGATAATTTTTCATTATATAGTTTAAATGAAAAATATTTGAAAAAATGATGTATTCGAAATTCGTGATTTTATAATGTTCGATGAGTCGATGTATTTTGGACCAATTAATTGGGATTAAATTGGTTGTTATTTTTTTTTTTCGATAAAATTCGATACAAATTTTACATTATAGCAGGAAACGAATGCACGCACGAAGTAAAATTTTTAGCAATAAAAATAAATAATCCTTTGAGGATCTTAATAACCGTTCCGTTTTATATAAAACAAGGGATGAATATAGGCCAACAGGAAGTTTATGCTACCAAATTAAAAAGATTCGCGATATAATTGCAAAATAGAATCTTCACCTGATTCGTAATTTGTGATTGTGTTGTTTTTCAACGCATCTTTTTCAACCAATGTTACACATTTAAATATATTAGAAATTAAATTTTCGCTTGCCATATCATACGATATGTATCGCGAAAAGCTCTCGATTCTGTTTGCGGATATCCATATCACATGCAAAACTTCATTTATCAAGAACAAAGCTGCCTTTTACATTGTATACACCAAATCGTTCACAGATCATTAGACACTCTAGATACACTTGGAATAGAATTGAGAACATTATAAATTCTAATACAAATCTATCGAATCATAAAATGGTCGAATATTTGTTTCGAGATATGTACAACGATTTTATACAAATTTATCATTATCACGATAAAATAATAGATAAATCTAAATTATGGAATAAATTATGTTTCGTCGTTTACGTCAACATAATTCGATATTTTAATAAACGTCACGTTGAAAACGGACAAAATATCTGATTAGTGGCATCGAAATCTTTACCGACCATTTCAAGTGACCGTTATAAATCGTGCAAAGTGCATTGATATTCATCAATACTGCGAATAAAAAAAAAAAAAAAAAAAAGAACAACCACTCGCGAATTATTAATTTATTCTTTATTTAACTCGCCAACACGACCTGTTACACGCGTCGCGCGCATTGATTGCACGCGACACGTCACCCGCATACGTGCCCTCCCGTTAACATTAAAAATAAATATGCACTTTCGCCCTCGCGGTCTTCCATCTCCCTGCTGTGTGTCCGACAACACACAGTAATTTCGCGATATGTATTTTTCGTCGGGACGAACTCGTGCTCGAACGTACGAACCATGGCGAAGGCGATACGGGCCGATAGGAGGCACGAGAGATCGTGGACAGAATGGAACGTTCCCTGGGAATTGGGGGAAATTAGGGGCGGAAATTGGGCGATTAAAACGATGGATCAATTTCATTTGGAAATTACGCGTTGCGCGCGTAATAGTTCACACGGAAAACCGCATTCCGTGGGATCGAAACGTGAACTTTCGAAAGACGGGAAGGGCTCTCGATTCTCCATTGATTAACATCGATTTCACTATTCAAATGGCCGCACGATGAAAAACACACATCGAACCATTTTCAATTATCACATCCATGCGGAAACGTTTTCATTCCGTTGAACAATTTCCAGTCTATTCCGTGGATCGTTGGTATTACCGATCGAAATGCCATTCAATAACGAATATATATAGAAAAAAATTGCTTGATCAATTTCACGCGAATTAATTAACGTACAATCGAGATAGATTTATCTCGGAGAATATATGAAGAGCTGGAATATAAGAGAGAGGTGGAAAGGAAACGAGTGTAAGCGGTGTGCGGATCGAAGAGGAGGGATGGAAAGGCGCGAAAGCGGTTTTAAGAGAAGTGGCGGAATGACCAACCTGTTACTTGAAAGCTGCGGAAACTTCCGAGCGGGGAAGTGCGTGCGTTCTTTCAGCTGCCCCTCCGGATGGATACACGTGCTCCCGTATATATTCCACGAACGTACGTGACCGAGTAAGTAGCGATCTAACGTGCGTGTCTTTTGCTCTCTGTCTCTCGACTGTCTCCTTATCGGTGCGCGCGGAAACACACGTTCGTCCTACTCCGTACTTTCGTACCTGCTACGCGTATATACACTGTATAACGTACATGTATATATATATATATATACATACATACATACATAGATATATATATATATATGTATATACGTGTCTCTATATACGTGTGTATCAATTCCAAGGTACAAGATGTGCCTTGTATATACGCGTTTCTCGGTGGCTGGAAAAAGAGACGGTGCGCATGCCCGCGTTATTAGAACGCGAAAAGGAAAACTCGCGGCGTAACAAGTCCGACTCTTGACGGAGGATGGGGGAAAGAAAAAAAAAAGTAGAATCACCGCGATATCGAGAGCGACGATATCGTCGGGCAGGCTGCCCGGCTTGCACTGCCCGGGTCTCCTGTTTCTCCCACCGAGCGAACCACTCGCCCCTCCGATCTCTCCCGTCTCTCCCGGCTCTCCTGCCTCTCCTGCCTCTCCTGTCTTCTCCCTCGCGCTCTCCTTACACCCCCTCCCACCCCTCCAACGCCACTGCGAGCGCGCCTGCCGAAAAAGCTCGCCTATTCCACCTTCACCCCACCTTTCACCCCTTTTCATATACTCCTTTTTCCGCCCTCTCCTCCATCCCCAATCTCTTCGTCCTTTTCACTCCTTCGACCTTTCCAACATTTATTCTCTCTCTCTCTCTCTCTCTTTCTCCTTTTCCTCGCCACCAGCCAGCGCGACTTCCACTCGCAGACTTTCTGTTCGCGATCTCTTCCAACCCATCCCGAACGAGCGATGGTGTCCCTCGTCCTTCTCGTCGATCCTCGCTCCCTCTTTCTTCCCATTCTCTTCGCGTCCCACGTCGCGACGACGAGAGACAACGAGCTCAAGGCGCAAGCTCGTCCTTCGTCGTCTCCTGCGACGAAAGGGAAAGAAGGGAAAGAAGAATCTCGTGTCGGGCTAAATTCACCAGGAGGAATATCCTCCATTGGAAGGTGGGCCCAAGGGAACCCCGACGACGGGGGAGACGCTCCTTCCCTTATTCGCGCGCGTTTTCACGCACGTGGATGGAACGCAGGGGGATTGAAATGAGATCGTCGACGTACCGAGCAACTCTCCGCGGAGCATCGCGATTCTGGAGGGGGAGGAAGATGTTTCGAAATTTTCTTCCTCTTCCGGGATTTGATCGATGATGAAGAAAGGAAGAGCGGGATAATCGTTGCTTCCTCGAAAACGAATCGTTTGAAAGGGAAATGTTTGAAAGGGAAACGCGTCAGAGGTATTGGAAAGAGAGAGTTTTACTTATTAGCTGTTTTAAACGATTGTTACGAGATACGAGAATGTGGCGTATCGTCGATGAACGGTTACGAGATTATTATCGATCGATTCGCATACCTCCTCTCGAAATAAAATTTCCCATCGAAAGCTTAACTCGAATTCGTTGTCTTCACTCTCTTTATATACCTATATATTAATATTTCAAACTCTCTTCTGATTTTTGAAAAAGAAGGAAAAATTGATGACGCGAAAAAAAATTCTTTGCACTTTGATGCATTTTCATCGCAATATCGTTCCTCTCGAAATTGACTTCTTCGCTTTTCTTCTCGTGTATCAGCGAAAAAACGAATAAGGGAACGTAGGTCAAAGGGACAAAAGGAGACAAAAGGCTGCATCTCAGGAGTCAATTGACTGGAAAGTTCTAGCAATGAAACCGGGTAAAGATAAATGCGTGAAAAACAACGCATGAAATAGGATTTTTAGTAACGTTATTGCAAAAATAAAAATTTACGAATACATTACATGTATACGGAAATCCTAATGGTTGGTGATCATCTTTGTAAATTAATACGTTTCGTATACGTGAAATATTTCTCCGCTATATCAATTTTAAATAATTAACATATTCATCCGTAATAATTCGTCGTGAAAAAAACTTCTTTTAATTTTTTTTCACTTTAAAAAATTTTTCTTTTTCATTGATTTTTGTTTCAGCAACTATGAATGTTTTACCGCAGCATCGAAAAATTAGTATTAATACAAACTTTAGCATTCCGTGGAACGAGTTTAGATAAAGTCGGATGTTTCAATTTACTTTACAATCCATTAAAATAGATAAGCGACGCTGTTAACGTAATGCAACGTTATCAAATATTCAGGTTTCATCAGACGAGTGAGTACACGGACCGCACTTCCGGAGACTCGCTTTGCTAGATCTAACAGACAGAAAATTGCGTTTAAAGGAAAAAAAAAAAAGAATATCATAAACTATGTAAAGTATTTTATTACAAATCTTAGAATGCTTTCCATGTACTTTAAAAATTTTCATTTTAATATTTAATATTAGTATTAGTATTAATATGCGCAATATGCGTTTTTTCTTTTTCTATAAATTTTACTGATTGATATTCAGAATCGAATACATTTCGAGTTAAAAAGATTTTTGTATTATACAATTATTATTATATGTTATTATTTTTTATGTTAAATAAATAAAGTTCTTTTTAATTCAAAAATTAATATTAAACATATATTCGTAAATAATTTTCCAAGGTATGTCTAAGACATTTAATTTCTTATCTCGATTATTCTCGATTTAGATGGTAGTAGAATCCTTTCAAAATTATCTCTCCTTAAAAAACGCACGCACAACTTGGGACAGCTTATACTTAAATTCTTAATTTTCTAAGCTTTTAACCTCTTCGTTTATCGCCATCTTCAAATTTGCTAATAATCTTTCGATTTTAACCTTTATATTTATTACATTTATTAGTTAATATTTTGATTCATAATTAATAGTTAATTAATAGTTTAACACACAATAAATATTTTGAAAATTTCATGATTATAATTAAGAAAAAAAATATATATATATATATATATACAAATTGTTTATTTTAGATTATCATTCATTATTATACAACATGTAATATATATTAATATTAAAATTTATCTTGATCATTGCTGATCTAGAATATTAACTGTCACTATTTTAGATTACACTATTAATTTTGAAAACATAACTTCATCTTTATTATTTATATTTATTGACATAGAAGAAAAATATTTTTAATAATATTTAAAAATAATATTATTAATTAATTATTATATGCTTATATTTTTTTTTATTTTTATTTTATCTAATCTCTAATTTATACTATTAATATTATTATATTATTATATACTATGCTATATTATACTTTTATATATACACCAATGACGTATGAATTACGCATGCGTTTGGAGTAATTGTACTATATATTATCATTTTAGAATTTTAACTAAAGGTATGATACATTTTATTAATATAATTATTAAATTTATATCTTAAAAAATTTATACATATTTTTTTATATCCTAAATATATAAATACTTATATAATAAATTATATTATATGTGATTTTCAAATTTGAAGAATTACGATACATCATAACCTTAATAAATTTATTAAAAACAAATTTATAAAAAATATTACAATATATATATTTAAATAATTTTAATATTATTAAAATAGATATTTTACAAAAATATATACATATATAATAATTATTTTATAAAGATAAATCAAATTTATAAATGTTATGAGATATATATTTTATGATTATATAACCTTATCTTTTAGGAATAAAAACAAAAGGAAAAGATAATAAAAAAAATAATACAATTACGTATCAAATTATACAAAAAGAGAAGTTTAGAAGATGCAATCTGGTGAATGACAAGATAAATGTTTATTAAATATTATATTATTATAAATGTTCCATTTATTATTTTATTTACAGATGAAAAAGATAGCGAATTTATGCCAAAATTAGATCTTGTACGAGATAAAAATAAACTAAAATATAGTGATTTAATATATATGAAACAAGCAGAAGAAATAGCTATTCAAAAAGCATTGATATATAAAAGAACACGTACAAAATGTACTATAGCAGGAATCTCTATTGCTAGTGTAGCTTTAGGAATTTATTTATATACTATACATGCTGTTAAACAAGAAACTTTCTTAAATGATTTAAATGAACCTGAAAGAATAATTGAAAAAACAAATACAGATACAAATATTGCTTAGAAATATATTTCTAACGTGTAGAATATTATTTTTCATTTTTTAAGTATATTTATTATTTAAGTATAAAACTATAAAACATATAATAAAATATATAATAAAATTCAAATATTGAAATATCATAAAATATACTATATAACTATATTGTATAAAACTATAAATTAGTTAAATTTGTTTTTAGTTCTAAAAAATTAATAAAAAAAAAAAAAATGTCCACTATAAGATTACCACCTTTACCAAATATAAGAGATATATTGAAAATATATCGTTTAAGAGCAATGAAAGAACTTTCACAAAACTTTATTTTAAATCAAAATTTAGCAGATAAAATAATTAAAAAAGCAGGAAATCTTACTGATTCTCATGTATTAGAAATTGGTCCTGGTCCTGGTGCATTGACTCGATCTATTTTAAAATCTCAACCAAAACAATTAATTGTTGTAGAAAAAGATAGAAGATTTGAGCCTACTTTAGAAATGTTGGCAGATGCATTTGCAGCTGTTAATGGTAAAATGGAAATTATCTTTGATGATATTATGAAAATAAATATGAATAATCTTTTTCCTTCAACTGAAATGAAAGCTTGGACGGAAAAAAGTCCAAGAATTAAGTTAATTGGTAACTTACCGTTTAATGTTTCAACACCTCTTATAATAAAATTGTTACATGCAATTAGTGAAAAAAGAGATGCATGGACATTTGGAAAAACTCGAATGACATTAACATTTCAAAAAGAAGTTGCTGAACGTTTAATAGCTCAACCATTAGATGTACAAAGATGTAGATTATCTGTAATGGCACAAACATGGACATATCCAATTTTACATTTTATTATACCAGGTAAATTATTAAACTTTTATTACATAATTTATGAATTTTAATTATATTTCATAAAATTTATTTTACTTTTTCTTACAAAAAATAGGTACAGCCTTTATTCCCAAACCAAAAGTTGATGTTGGCCTTGTAACATTTGTACCTTTAACTGTTCCACGAACAAAACATGAATTTACCATTTTTGAAAAAGTAACACGACACATTTTTAGTTTTCGTCAAAAATACAGTATACGAGGTGTTGAGTAAGTTAATTTATCAAAGACAATTAAATATAATTATGAAATTGTAAAATTAAATGATACAATTTTGAAACTTCACTTTTTAGGACATTATTTCCTCTAGAATACAGAACTGAATTAGCTCAAATGATGTATAAACTTTCTGATTTGAATCCACAAACAAGACCAATAGAATTAACAATAGAAAATATTGATAATCTTATTAGTGTATATAAATATTTATTAGAAAAGCATCCAGATATAAAATTATATGATTATCGTGCATCTCGACATATAGTATCATTATCTGATTCAAAAGATCTAGAGATCGTAGAGTGTGTAGATTAAATTTTGAGTAATAAATGAGTTTCTGTTTAATATAAAATAATGTAATAAATAGTACATATAATATTTGGTATCTTAATTAATCATGATTAAACCAGTCTATATAATATGATTATATTTGAAACTATGAAACATATAAAAATTTTGAATTAAGTAAAATATAAAATTTTTACATATTTTATTTGTAAATAATATATTAATATTATATGAGGTATTTTATAAAATTTATCTATACTTATAGAAAACTTTAAGTTACATCATTTAAGTATAATCTAAATAAGTTTTCTCTTTTTTGATGATACATTTATTTCTATTATTCTATTCGCATATATATATATATATATATATATTTATTATTACTTAATATATGAACATTGCACTATCTCTAAATCAGTTTATATATGAAAATATTATTTGAATGTTATATCATTTATGTTGTGAAAATTTTTTATATTATAGTAACTAAGTTTTATTTTATAACATAAACAAAACAATATTCAAACAACTTTTTTCATATGATACAATTAATTATTTTTGTTTTATATTGTTAAAAATTAATGAAAAATTATTAATTATATATTTATAGATAAAATCTTATAACAATAATCTATACTGTTTTTTTTTTTCACATATATGAATATTGTGATCTTAAAAAATAAAATGAATTTATAAATTATGTAATATTTATATTACTATTAATAACTATATATGTTATAAATATTTTTAAGAAAATTTGTTTTATTTGCTAGTCTCGTTATCATAACATTTATTTCAATTTCATAGTTTGTTATCAATTTCAAGTTCATAACTATTAAAAATGATTTAAAAACTGTTAATATTTCAAATATATTTATAATTGTAACATTTCATATATTTTTTAACTCACAAAGATATCAATTAATTTATAAATGCAATTACAATAAATTCGATTATATATTTTTAATCGTAAAAAAATTAAAAATCATAAATTACAGTAAAATATATTAATTTCAATTTCAAGTTACTTGTACGAGACCAGCTCTTTACATGTACTTTGTATATAAGTATATTGCTTGAAAATAGAATATAAGATGTAAATAATAATATACAAGATATTGCATTTTGAATTAATGAATGTATATATAATGTTTATAATGTATGTATTGTAAAGATACAGATAAACGAAGACACTAAGGGGAAAGAAATATATGAATCACTCTTCTAAATCTAAATCTTCTAATTCTTCTTCTAAACCTTCTAAATCTTCCTCTTTAAACAAATTTTCATTAATTGCTAATGCAGTTGCACCTTCACCTATTGTAACTATCATAAAAGTATAAATAAAATTATTATTATTCTGAGAATGTCATTCTAAAACAATAAATATATTTTTTAAATACCTGTGGAATTCTCATTTGTAACTTTATTATTTTTCAATCGATCTGCACCAGCTACAGTTATTCCAGAAGTATCAATTTCACTAGCTTCAAGTGCAAGTCTATCCATATCAAGTTCTCTATATTCAACTTTTTCTTCTGCTTCATCTTCTTCACGAACATAACTAGATATTGCTTCATCTCCATCATCAATGCCTAAAATTATTTTCAGAATAAATTGTATATTTATAATAACATAAATTACATAATATGTAAAGTAATAAAAAAGTACCATCTCCAGCTGCAAGTTCAGGATTGAAATAAAACATTTCTCTTCCGGATATGCCGACTTGACGTCCAGCTTTATAATCATTTCGTCTTTTTTCTTCATCTTTCAATGCCTGTTCTTTTTTCTCTTTTAGTTTTCTTTTTTTCCATGCCAAAAATGTCTCCAATGTTATTTTAGTCTACGAAAACATTTAATCAATTATTATGTATTTTGCAAAAATGTTAAATACTTTAATAAAAAATAATTTTATAAATTATTATATATATATATTATAAATATATATATATATTTATTTATACTTGATTTGGTCCTAAATTAGCTCGTTCTGTTTCAATTAAATCTTCTAAAGAAATTTCATCTTTTTTATCTTCTTTCTTCTTATCTTTTTTAAGAACAAAACCAGGTGGTAATGCATGCCTATAAATACATTTTTGTCCGGATGGACATTCCCAAAACCAACCATATTTTGATTTTTCAACTGCTTCTAAGAAATGTTTACAAATCTAAAATTTAAAAAATATTAAATATTGTTTTTATATAAATGAAATTAAAATATTACAATGAACTTCAACTCACAATATCTGTAGTAGGACGATTACCACTGCCATGCTTCTTTTCAACAACTTCTTTCAATTTATCTTCATCCCATTTATCCATTGTATCAGTTTCCTTATCATCATCTCTCATATCACAATATAATGAACGTTTTTCTGCTTTTCTCTCTACACTCAAATCATGAGAAAATTTGCATTTATCACCTTTTGTACATTGTCCTTGTTTAAAGAATGCACATACTACCGATTTAGGATCAGTTCCTAAAAAATTTAAATAAATATATTAAATTTTATATTTATATCTGCATAGTAAAATAAATTGCAATCATGAAAAATTTAAAATAATAATTTATATATATATAATATATTTAAATAATTGTTGATCTCACATCTTATAATTAACTGTTGCAATTTCAGTTAATACCTTTATCTATTTTTTGTGATTGTACAGGTTTAAATATGAGCGCTAATTCTTTCTGCTCCTTTAATTTTTTTTCTTTTTCAAGTTTTTTAATATTAGGATCTTCTAATTTTCGTGGATTAACACCACCTGATTTTACTTGTTTTTCTACTTGTTGAATAAATTTTTGTTGTTTGGCACCTTTTTTGTTTTTTATACCAAAAGTCTTATCCTACAAAAAATAGACGATATTATGAAAAAGTTTAAAAAGTAACAAATCTCGATAAATATACATGTTTAAAATTTAGTGTGATATTTTAAGGTTAGAAAGAATATTTAAATATACCTCGATAACTTTTTCTTTTTTCTTTTGTTCCGCTTTTTTACTAGGAGCAGGTGTCTTTTTAGGTGGCATTTCATTCACTTATCGATATTTACAAATATCAAAAGCAGAAAATTTATTAACAAAATTTACAAGTGAACAGAAATTTACTTTTGGATCATAGAACCACAGTCAAGATATAGAATAGACCTACCTACCATCTTATGAGATTTCTCTCATGTTCTGAATTATCGATCGTGCAAAAAATCAAACTATTTGATATACCCTGATTGAATATCATATATAAGAATATATCTTGAGAGCTTATCGTCATAGAGATACATTATAAAGTCGAAAATGTAACAGATAAATGTTTATATTTTTTTTATTAAAAATTAAAATATTTTGAAAGAGAAATAATAAGAGTAAGTTCAGTTGATATCACATACTTCATTTGTATCAAATGTTAAAATGTCAAACGTTAATATAGACAAGAAGAATAAATAATAGAAGAAAAATAGAGATAGATTAAAAATATAGAAATCAACACCATCTTCAGAATGAAATAAATAAAATACAGTGAACAAGAATAGCAAATAGCAGAAGAAAAATAGAAATAGAATAAAAAATTTATTTTTGGCGGCATTTCTCGAGTGCTGAAAATATCTTTTTCAAAATATGTCTTTAAAATGAAATCATGAGAATTGAAAATCAACGCTATTTCTGGAGTATTATTCGA